TTTTTTTTTTTCCTTTGTATACTTTTTTTCTTCTTTTTTTCTTTCTTTCTTTATTTTTTTTTTTGTCTTTTTTTCAAAAACAAAAAAATGAACATTATATTATATAGAATTTTTCTCTTTTTTTTTTTCCAAATACTATAAAAAATTTGTAAATTTGACGCTTGAAATAAAAATGTTTACTTTATTTAAAGTATAAGAATAATTTTAAAAAATGTATTTTATTTTAAAATAATGAACAAGAGAGATAAAAAGACGGTATACCGGCAAATACAATATTACAAAATTACATCATTACAACCTTATCAAACATATCCATCAAAAAAGATAACATAGATACGATCAAAGTTGAAAATAACAAAAATAACATTAGTTTTTAAAGTACTTCACTAAGAATCTATTATTATTACCTTTAGCAATACTGAATGTTTGATAACTGCAGTCATACATAAATTGCATAAATTGCATAAATTGATATCTATTTCGTATCATGATATATTTCGCTGATGGCAACAATGGCAATGTAAAAAAAACACCACCAAGTCGATTATCATATGTTAGTTACTCCGATCTTAGTAAATATTAGTTTAGTAATTGTTGAACAGACTCATGCACATTATATATTACGCCATTATTCGGCGAGATCTCAATTGATTTCATTCATTTCAAAAAGAAAATTGAACTTTGCATATAATCATATTTAGATAATTAGAGTAATTGCATTTGTGAGACGTATGACGGCGACTCAGAGTTTTGATTCTGTGATTCCTCGAGGACACTAGGAGGCTCACTTACAGTTATGGTTGTAATCGTAACAAAAAAAATGTAAATCATGCACAATCAGGCAAACATATCTTCTTGAAGAGGATGCAAAAGATAAAGGAAAATATATATGAAACTTAAAAAAGTATTTAAAAGTTGATGATAGATGTATTGCTATGATAACATTATCAAAATAGATAATCTATGGTATATTGCTTTTAGTTTGACCTTTGATAAATATTGGTACAACATAATAAACCTAAAAAAACCATCGCTCTAAATTTCGGTCGCGTCATCTTTCATCGTACACATTCTGATTATTATGCTCATTTAAAAATGTGGTCAATCAATAACTTAAGCAACGAAAAAATGCATCAACTAAAAATAAACAGGCTTTATCTGTTTTATTCATCAATGACTTTGCACTTTGGGTGACTTCTCTCTAAAGCTTATCAATTAAATTAATCTGGTATAGTTTCATTTGTAGTCATTTAGCGATCGAATGGGTTGATCACCTGACATAATAATCCGAAATTTCAGGGTCCCTGTCGTACGCATGTCGTATGTTACATTAATTTCCTTTTTTGGAGATACGTGTTTTTTCATATTTTTCATAATTTCATTTTACTTAGTAGTCCAATACATTTACCGGCCAAAATTAATTGATCAAAAGTTTATATTTGGGATTACTATCAATTATTCTATATACAAAAATAAACTGTGTTACACAATCTGATTGATCATTTCTCGAATTCAAGTTTTTTTTTATTGAGGCGAATTTATTATTAAGAAATTTATATAATTTTTTAGTGCTAAGCCTCGTCAAGTGAAAATCGAAATTGAACTAGATCAAAAATAATAATTCATATAACAAAACTCAATGAAATCATGTAAGAGTTCAAGTTTATTTTCTTTTTTTTTCGGCTTTTTTTTTAAAAAAAAAAAGGATAAAAACGCCTCAAAGTAATAAACAAACGCATGTCAATGAAAATGGTTAACTTAATTCAAACATGATTTATTTTTTATTTAAATTCACGCCTTTTTTCACAATTTGTTCAAACCTTTTTTGAAAAAGTTCTTTTTGAAGTTGATTATCATATTAGATTAATTAATTAGTAATTGTATATCTAGATTAACGTGTTTTATATAAGTATACTTTTAAAATAATTATCTATAATTATATATATATATTTTTTTTTTAAAGTAGGGGAAAATAATTTATTAGTCAACGATGTAAGTTTTCTCATTGATTTTACGAATTTTTTATATAATGATAAAAAGAAGAGATGTTTAAGCTTTTTCTATGGATATTTATTTAGGTCATCGGAAAAAATTGAATCAGTAAAGAAACAAGTTGAAGAAACAACAAAAGAAATACATAACACTCTTCATCTACTTGCTGAGAAAGATAAAAAATTAGATGAATTAAAAGCACAATCGGGTATATTATTTATTGTATCACTTAAAGTATATTAATATTATATTATTATTATTATTATTATTATTATTATTATTATTATTATTATTATATTATATTTATTATTATTATTATTATTATTATTATTATTATTATTATTATTATTTAAAAAAAAGACTTTTTAAAATAATTTTTTTTTTTTTTCTTGATTACTTATTAGACTCGTTATTAGAATCTTCTGCACGCTTTAAACCTGTAGCTGTAAATCTTCATAAAAAATCACGATGGAAAAATATTAAAATGACTATTATTCTTACTGTTGTTATAATTCTCATCTTGGCCGCTATTATTGGTATGTTTAAAAAAAATGTTTAAAAATTTTATTTTTATTATATTAAACTAATGAATAATTTTAATTTTTTTTAAAAAAAGTTCCAACCATTCTTAAATTTCAAGGAAAACTCTAGAATAAATTTATTTATTTATTTTTTATTTATTATTTCTTTATTTCTTTATTTATTTCTTTATGTTTATATTCGTTGTAATTTAATTTATTTATTGCATATGTTTTTAATCTTTCACTTTCAATACACGCCTGCGTTTCAAAAATTTCTCGTTAATTCTTAATGAAAAAAAAACAATCATTATTATTATTTTAATAATAAATATGAAAAGGAATCCACCGTTTTGTGATCTAAAAGTCCATGAATGAATTCGGCCTTCATATCTCATGTATTTTGTTTTCTAAGCCTTTCGTCATTTTTAGGAATGAAGCCAATATCGATCATGCAAAATTTTGACAAGGATATAATCAAGGCAAGTTGATTCGTGATATATAGATTGAAAGATCTTTAGCAATATGAATAATTTATGTTTCGCTTTTGTTATACATACAATAAGTTGGCCAAATCATGAAATTTCTTTGCTTTATTTCTGAGTAATGCATTGTTTTATAAAGCAGTTACCCCATTTCTATGCTTTCCCACATTACAGTTAGCCGGAAAATGAATTCTGAAAGTGTACAACAGTCAATGAAGATGCTGGAAATGTAAAAGAGAATCAATCACGCTGGCTTGCAGTCATTTCCATGCCAGACAGTTAGCCATCGGAAATGATGGAAGTGCCCATCAAGCTTTGTTCATTTGTATTAGTTCAATTGGTCTGAATATTTGGTTGTAGTACAATCATATTTTGCTATAAAAAAAAAGCCTCAATTTAGGAAAACTTTAAGTAATAAATTCATGTATTTTTTACTGTAATAAATAGCTATGATACTATAATACTTAAAGTACATGGATGTGATTTAAATGATACCTTATAATAATCTAATTATAACTCTGAATCTTCACAAATGACATAATATTACACATACTTTTCATACACACGTTTTTATTTATAAACTGAGAAATGTAAGAATTTACATATACTTTGATTTTCTGAACTTAAACCATTCAAAAGAAATTTCTTTTATATTCTAATACAATATTATTAGCATCTATCTAAATTACAAATAAATATTGCTAATTCAAAATTATAATAAAATAATAATAATAAAATAAACCATGATTCGTACTTACGAATCTTGGTTTTGATTCATCCATTCGTCAGAAATCCACCCAAACCTATAAAAAAAAGAAAAGAAAGGTTATTAGTAACAGTTCATTAATATTAATAAAAAAAATTTAACCAAGATTCGTATATACCTACGAATCTTGATCTTTTTCCGTTCTCCAGAACTTGGAAGCCCACCCGAACCTATAAAATAAAAGAAAGGAACAGTTAGTACCTGTTCCAAAATAATAAAAAATAAAAATAAAAAATAAACCAAGATTCGTACTTACTTACGAATCTTGGTTCCTTTTCTTCCGATCTTTGGAAGTCAACCCGAAACCTAAAAAATAAAAGAAAGGAACGGTTAGTAAACCGTTCCAAATAATAAAAAAAAAACAAAAACAAAACCAAGATTCGTATATACTTACGAATCTTGGTTCTTTTCCGTACTTCGGAATTCAGAAATCCACCCGATCCTAAAAAAAAAGAAAAGAACGGTTAGTAAACCGTTCCAAATAATAAAAAAAAAACAAAAACAAAACCAAGATTCGTATATACTTACGAATCTTGGTTCTTTTCCGTACTTCGGAATTCGGAAATCCACCTGATCCTAAAAAAAAGAAAAGAACGGTTATTAGTAACCGTTCATAATAATAATAATAAAAAAAATTAAACCAAGATTTGTACTTACTTACGAATCTTGGTTCCACTTTTTCCAAAGATCGGAAGCCCACCCGAACCTAAAAAAAGAAAAGAACGGTTATTAGTAACCGTTCATTAATAAAATTAAACAAAACAAAAAAATTAAAACCAAGTTTCGTATATACTTACGAATCTTAGTTCTTTTCCATTCTTCGGAACTCGCGAACCTAAAAAAAGAAAGAACGGTTATTAGTAACCGTTCATTAATAAAATTAAAAAAAAACAAAATTAAAACCATGATTCATATATACTTACGAATCTTGGTTTTTTTTTCGTTCTTCAGAACTCGGAAGCCCCTCCTAAGACCTGTCTCTTATACACATCTAGATGTGTATAAGAGACAGCTCTCGAATCTTGGTTTTTTTTTCGTTCTTCAGAACTCGGAAGCCCCTCCTAAGACACCGAACCTATAAAAAATAAAAGAAAAAGAACGGTTAGTAATAACCGTTCCAAATATTAAAAAAAAGAAAAAAAAACTAAGATTCGTAGTACAGAATCTTAGTTTTTTTCCGTTCTTCAGAAACTCACCCAAACGGCCGAACCTATAAAAAAAAGAAAGGAATAGTTAGTAACCGTTCATATAATAGGAAAAAAAATAAAATAAAAAATAAACCAAGTTTCGTACTCGTACTTACGAAACTTGGTTCTTTCCATTCTTCGGAACTCGGAAGCCAACCCAATCCTAAAATAATAAAGAAAAAAACGGTTATTAGTAACCGTTCGTTAATATTACTAAAAAAAAACAAAAAAAATTAAACCAAGATTCGTTTACTTACGAATCTTGGTTCTTTTCCATTCTTCGGAACCAGGAAGCCCGCCCGAAACTTATAAAAAAGAAAGGTACGGTTAGTAACCGTTCCGAAATATTAAAAAAAATAAAAACCAAGATTCTTAAGAATCTTGGTTCTAACACAGGTCGAAAAGTGAAAAATCAGGCACCAATCGGTCACCAATCAGGTAGCTGATTGGTGACTGATTGGTGACTGATTGGTGACTGATTGATGCCTGATTTTTCACTTTTCGACCTGTGTAAATCCCCTTCCCCTTCCCCTTTCCCCATTTTTTACCTTAAAGTCCGGTTTCATGTTAAAGCCGGCATCCTCCTATGCGTCCTACAAAAAAAAATAATGAAAAGAAACGTTAGTTCGTTTCTTAAATTAACAAAACTTCACTTTCCTGTTTTTTACCTTAAAGTCCAGTTTCGTGAATAAGCTAGCGTCCTTCTACACGTCCTATAAAAAAAATAATGAAATTTATTTCTTAATTAAAATTAAAAAGATAAATTAAAAAAAAATTTAAAAAAAAATATGTAAGTTTAAAAACGAAACTTACATTACTTCCAAGAAAAAGAGGCGGAAGAAAGGTATGAGAAAAGGGGGAGAGCGAAAGGGGAAGCAAGGAAAGGACGAAAGGGAAAGGAAAAGACAATAGGGAAGGGAGGGGAAAGATGAAAGTACAGGGAAAAGTAGGGACGAAGTAAAGTGAAAGGAAGGGATGAAAGGGGAAAGTTTAAAAAAGATCCTTTTTTAAACTTTGATATGCGTAACGCGTGACGTTTAATTAGACTATTCGACCAATGTCTAATCGTAGATCATGGTCAAATTTTTAATTGAATATAGGCCGGCCTTTTTCGACTAGTGAAATCGGAAATTGGCTATGCCGAATGTCACCTGATATACAGATGATCGTCAATTATTAGCCGAAATTTAGCCGAAATAAGGACGATTTGCCTTATTTCCGATTTGCCTTATTTCGACTAGTGAAAGCATTCTGGATCGAGAAAGGAAGTTTAAGGAATAACAAAGCCAACGGAGTAGTCGCAGCCAGTCCGGCTTTTTTCTGTAATACCGAAAGTATGGGTGTAATAATTAAATGAATAGTACTTTCGGAAAAAAGCGTAGTTTGTAGACGAAATTCCAATCTTGAAAGAAGGACAGCGTTGTATAAGTAGGCTAAGAAAAGCAGCCATATCTTTAATCATAGAGCGTGATTGTTTAAGCACAAATTGAGGCGAAGCAGACAAAGAGAACCAGACTCCTAAAAATTGAAATGAAGTATTAAGAGCTAATGAAGAGAGAGAAAGGGAAGTTGTAGTAGCCAAAGAAGAGGGTAAAAGATCAAAAATAATCTGCGAAGAAGGAGAGGAGGATGAAAGAAGAACATATTTAGCCGAATTGGCTTGAACATTATTCAAAGTATAAAATTCAGCAGTGATGGAAAGACGATCTTCAATGCCAAACTTTGAAGAAGCAATAAGTGTAGAATCGTCCATAAACGTCAAATGTGAGATAGGTAATGAATGTTGTTTAAATTCAAGTGGAGAATAATTTAAAAGAGCTGAAGATTTTAAAATAAAAGGATCTCGTGCTTCTCGATTTAAAACAGTGAGAAGGGGATCCAAGTAGATACCCAAAGTACACTGGTAAAAAAATGGTCTATCCTACACATATCCTACACATATCTTACATATATCGGGTACTCAAAATGTAGAAAATCATATACAAATAATACACATATCATACACATATCGGGTACTTATATATATAGTATACCTATCAGGTACCTGATATATGTATGATATATATATTAGTACCAGATATGTATATGATATGTGTATTATTTGTGTATGATTTTCTACATTTTAAGTACCCAATATGTGTAAGATATGTGTAGGATAAATCATTTTTTTACCAGTGGTAAGGGGGAAATAATTTCTCCTTGATCGATACTAACACGTACACGATAAGCAGCAGTATCACCATGACAAGTAATAATTCTATTATTTCGTCGTGTAAAAAGGTTCAAGATAAATTGCACTAAAAGTGTAGGGAAATGTAATCTAACTAAAGCTAATTTAAGCATATTCAAGTCCATAGAATCAAAGGCTTTAGAGATATCTTGAGAAACTATCCATAGCTCCTGATCATCAGTGGAATCATGTTTTTGTTGATGGATAATCGCATCAAGCATTTTGATAGGGACATCAGTAGAACCACCAGGTAAACCAGCAAAGTTACCTCCTTGGAGAACTTTGTTATCAGCAAGGATGTTAGAGAGACGATTCGTGATGACCTTAACTACACATTTTCGAACTGTTTCCAGAAGAGTAATAGGTCAAGTGTTCTTGAGTTGAGCATCAAAATCATGGGTTTACGTATAGGATAAACCACGGCTTCACGCCATGTTTTATCCTTTTACTTTGCTATGTTTACGGCCAGACCACCTATTGCCTCTTATGAGACTAATCTCGGGTCTGTGTCCTATC